GGGGGGGCTGTCAGCGTCAGCTTTGAGTAAATTCCCAAAGCATTTGAAGCATTGGAAACAACCATGGATTCGTCATTGTATAGTATTTGACAGTTCATATCAAATACGTTTACAGCCTATACATGTATAAATGATTTATAGATTTATAATAGTTCATTCTCCGGGGAACACTGGTAAGTGTGTGGTCCTGGCCTCCTAGGGCATTCTGCTGATGGCAAATCGTCCCTGTACATGTATTGCTTGGTCATGAAACATTAAATATACATAACGTTATAATTGAGAGAAATAGAGTGATTTAAATGTCGATCGGCAGTGTCATTTAATTGTAGCATGTCTGCCGAGGCCATTGACCGCTTATTAGCTGCCGACTTGTGTACCGTTAAGTTAACTTTCCGCCCGAGTCGAACTTCGGACAGAACAATTAATTGATTCTCTGTATAAAACTTCCGCATGCTAACATATATATATCACCGTGGATTATTGTTATACAAATGAGTACCTTTTCGGCCTATTGTGCATGTATATTTTCAACATAATTTATTAGAGAGGTATACAAGCCCGAGTCTTGTATTGAATCGGGACCATTTTGTTGTACTTTTTTTTTAGTATGACGTCTTTCTATACCAGATAATTATAATAAGGTAAAACGCAACAAACAAAATTTGACAGGTTGTGGGTTAATGAAATACAAAGACAGGTGAATACAGCACCTTTAAAGTTTCGTACGCAAAAAAGAATCGCACTGTATTATACAGCTGTTTCGTCTTTCTATAGGAATCATCGGTGATGCTAGCGCCAAAACGTTTAAAATCAAAATGGTCTAAACTGCTGTTGAAACAGAAGGGCAGGTGCGTAAAACCAACCCATTCATTTATGAGTTTAAAAATTTAGAGGAGTAGTGGCTATAATTTCAAATGATTAATCTGTTAAGTGTACGTGTATATTGTGAACCCTGCCACTACTCAAAAGAGATAACTATGGCCATCAAGGTTACAGCAAAGCTGGGGGCAGAAAACCCACCAGAGTGGATATGATTTCCTGTTTTGAACCTATTTACATTGTTTGTTTCATGAACATTTTACCTCTGGGAATATATAAAACCAAGTGATTGGCAATTTGCTACAAACATCTAATTACACAGGTATGTTTAAGTATAGTGTTATTTATAAAGTAAAAAAAATACGTTTAACTGACACGACATCGCAGTTACGCAACGCACATCAACAACGAGGAAGTCCAAAATCCACAATAAATCGTGTTAATTACCCTTAAACATGCAACAAAATAATAACCTGTATTTATTAAGTCCAACATACTGATGTTTTGTAATATTCAAACTTATATATATCGTTAAGAATATGCTCACTGTCAAATAAGAAACAACACCTATAATGACAAAGACCATATTTCCTTACGGAAGAGTCCGGCACAGATTTCGTTTACACTAATCTTCAATATTGCTCTCGCTTCCTTGTCCCATTTACAATATGAGTAATACATTCTGTTATGCAATGTCGGACAAAAGAATTTTACATGCACGGTAATTATTATTATATTTTAGATATTTACACATCAAGCCAACACAATTAGCATTAGCTTGAATAACCTTATACATATAAGTGGAATATGATAGCTACACCGAACATTTCCAAGTAAATGTGGTGGTGGGTCTTTACGGACAGAATGGTTAATATTTTTCTCTTATGAGTACTATACTATATAGACGGAGTGTTCTTAAATTTAATTAAAATAAATTTCGAATTGGCTGAATATTTTCTGTTGATAGTAATTGCCTATCATAGAGGTCCCGATGGTGGGGGAGGGGCGACTTGTCGGTAGGGATTGGCCCAACCACTCTCGCTCTTCATTCAATTTTTATGTTATGTACAGTATAATATATGGTTCTTTTTATTGAGGATCATTAATAGATTCTATGTTTTAATATACATAAATTTTAAGTAGTATCTCGTAAGTAAGTATGGCTGGGCATATTTTGCATATGTGTATTTTTATTATGTATGTGATATGTTATGTAAAATATGTGTGACACTTAAATAAAATATTTTATTATTATTATTATAGTAAATTTTATTTAACGTCGATATGATTACAAAGATAACACGAGCTTTTACAATCGACATAATAAAGTTACACTCACTTTCGCTCTCTGCACTCCTGTATCAGTTGAATATGTCACAGCAACATTGGTTTCAGGTAAACCAACCTGTCGGATTGCTAGGCTGATACCCTGCTGTCCTTTAAAGATTACAGAGGAGCGACACCCCAACTTCAAAACCAGTCTATTTTACCGTTACGCGACTGACATATTCTTTTGATGTACATCAAAGGATCAAACTAGTCTCCTCGTCTCATCCACAAGGTGCTACACACAGAGCCTTTGATTTTGTCACGACATATATTCCAAGGGTGCAGAAAGCAAACGTGAGCGTAATCCCTGGAGTATCGAGTGTGCCTTCTCTGCTATTAGACAGACTGTGATACATTTGGAATCATCAAACCTAGTGACCTAATCAACAAATATGGGAAAGTTGTAACAGACATGTCTTCCAATACTTTGACCGGGAATCTTTGGGGTTACAGAGGCCAAGTTAAGGATGCTGTGCAATATTTCTACTGGATTTGCCGATGTTGTTGCCATTTCGTCCCTTAGCCCTGGCTAATTGTGCCTTATCCCTGTACATGGAACACTCCTCTTCATATGTAGTAACATTTGTACTATGGCTTCTTCTTGGACTGCATTCTGCAATCATGGAATATTTCCCCAGCTTCTGTAGTACTTTAAAAGCAGCATCAATCTACCCTTTCAGGTTGGCATCAATATACAATTAGTCATATTAGTTCTGGACTTTTTCATATTTATCCATCAAGATGTAGGGAAAAGCAAACGAAAGCAGCATTATTTTTCATAAAACACGAGGGAAGCTGCAAAATTGCATAGATGCTGGGGTTCTGGAATATATGAGATATATATGATCGAACCCCACCAGATATTGACCCCCATATACTACTGTAATAAAGTTGTGTTTTTTTTAGTATAGGGGGTGCGATATCTGGTGGGGGTGCTATTATATATCACATATATTGCAGAACCCGAGCACCTGTGTGAAATTAGAGTGTTGAGATGAAGCGCAGAGAATGTATGTGTGAACAGGTTCATTTCTATTAAGATTTATTTCAGGAAACCATTTACGGAAAGAGTCCCTCCTCGATCCATATTTTATATACTAGTACTTTAAACCGGGAAACTTTAATATTCAGTCAAATATTCGTTCTTCACCGGTAAAATCCATATTCGTCCGGAGTAAATATCGCCCTTCACATGTAGTTATTATGTATGGCGTGCTGTGTACTACTCTTCATTGTCATGATAAATTCGCCCTTTTTTGCGGAGGGCGAAAATGGCGAATATTTCAAACAGTAGCGAAAATTTACAAATGCTCTTCATATCTATCATTGTTCAACAGCTTAGCAGTGTAAGTCACGTTTGAGCAGTATCTTGGATTTTGGAGCTTGCTACATGTTTCTAGAACATGCACATCTCCAAGAATGAAAAACACAATTTTGTACATCAATCTTAAAATCGTTTTGTTCAGTATTTGACAGGAAAAGAAATCAGATGCTGGCACCTGACAATCATTTTTTTGTTAAAAACACCAAATATTTAACGGAACAATATGCAACAGAAGAAATAACAACAAAGGTATATGAAAATGTGATCATGGTTTTATACAGAATTACATGTTACATACATGTAGTTTGGTAACAACATTTGTAACAGATGACTGACACATGACTATTGGCTACCAGGGGTCTCTCTGGTGATAAAACACCACCAGCTCCGTGAGGGTTTCTGGTGATAAAACACCACCAGCTCCAGGAGGGTCTCTGGTGATAAAACACCACCAGCTCCGGGAGGGTCTCTCTGGTGATAAAATCTCACCAGCTCCAGGAGTGTTGCTTTACGTAGAACTTGTGTGCACATCACATGCCGTACATAAATGGTATATTTGGTTATTAAATCTATTAGAAAATGCTGAATAAGAATTTGAATGTGGTTAGAAGACAAGAATAGCTTTGGTGTACTTATACAGGGCATCAATCAGGTAAAACATTCTGTCATGGATGGCATGCTTTAAGATAACTCATTCACCCCTGGAATTTTGTAATGAACTATTCCAACCTTTGAATAGGAAGAGTTCAAATGTGTCTCCAGGGGTTAATGAGTTAAGATACATGCATGTTTTTCTCTCCGAAAGTATAGATAAATAGTACAAAAACATAAAAAAAAATCCAGAATGAACTATTTTTTTTCTCAGGTACATCAATCTACATATATAGCAAGCCTTTGGCTTTCTCAACAGTGAAATGTTTAAATCTTTTTCTAATTAACAAAAACATAAATCTACCATAAATAGCATTAAACCTAATATTAAATGCTTTGTGAATAATAAAAAGGTCACTGAAATTACACACATGTTAAAAATATCTAAGTTTAACGATCACTTGCATCATTTTACTCCATCCAGATGCATACACTATGCATAGGCATTGCGCCTAAGCTCTTGATTAAGACAAAAGCACCAATTAACATAACACATATTTTATATTTCAAAACAGTCAATTAAGTAGACAAGCAAGTATGCTCACTTATAACTGTATCAGTCAATAGTGCATTCCACTTCAATATATATTCACAATTCAATTGAAATGCAAATACAATGTAGACGGGGCTTTTAAGTGGTTTTTTTCTTTCTCACTGTATAAAATATACATCCTATCAACAGATTTAAAATTACAATGGAACCCTGTTGATTTAGAATCCAATGATCTTAAAAATAATCTGCCAGATACCTTAAAAGTAAAATTTTCAAACAAATTTTTGGTGGTGCGCATTGGCTATACTGGAATCCATATATGTCATCGCTAAGGTATCGCTATGTTTGCGTTTGACAGAGATGATTCAGTTAAATTCAAAATACATATTGTAAGCAAAACTTTCTACTTCAGAGTACTGACATCCAGACACTTCAACACCTGAAATTTCCCCCCAGAAACCATACCATTACCTGCAAGCTAAAACTGTTCCAATGTAGTAAATAACTTGAAAGTCACTAAAGTGAAGAAAAATAAATTTGGTGCTTATTCATAATATTGCATAGCAAACAGCTTGTAAGATCAGTTGATATATATTATATATAAATATGAGTTATGTACAATAACTAGACATGTTTCTCGGAACAGTTAATCATTATGGTTCACAGTACGCAGCGATGCAGAACAAAGGCAGAAAGGTAAATGCTCTCAATTCAATTACTGGTAATAATTATAATATATTCCTGTTAATTTTACAACCATCGCAGAAAAACTATAGCAGAAATTGTATTCCAGCTGTTGTTCCTTCGACCATTTTCACTTGATTTGAAACTACCTAACTGTCAACCGTATCAATTGAAGAAAATGATAGCAAAAGGTTCTGTTGCCTTCACCAAATGATAATTAGACATATATTCTACCCAATATCAAGAAAGCTTGATACCTTTTAAAATATTGGAAGATCTCCGACAAATTCTCACAGAAACAAAGGTTTCTTAATATATACTGGTTTAATCTGTTAAAACCTGCAGGCATTCACCTTTTAACTCATTCCTCCCTGAAATTTCATAATGAACTATTCCAATCTATGAGTTGGAAGAGTTCAAATGTGTCTTCAGGGGTGGATGAGTTAAGCATGTAGGCTCTGATGCTGTACAGCCTCAGACTTAAAACATTCATGTGCACAGAACAATCTATGGCTTTTGGATTATTGTGATACTGTAGTGACAGGCCAGTGCGGTTAAGATATGACTAATACTAGTGAAAAACAATACCTTAATGGGTTCTATAATGGTGAAGAGCTCGAACGTTAAACGAATGATGGTCCATGTAACAGTTACAAAGCATCTTTCTGTAAAGCTAAACCATGAAACATGTACAGTTTCACTTACCATCTCATCTCACTTACTGACCCCCCTCCCCCACTCAAGATTCCGTTTTCTGTCTACCTTCACGGTTTTCCTGCATTTGTAGAATTAACTTCAATTTTTAATCCTTATACAGTGAATTTGATTTGATTTAGGAAAAAGCAATTTGGGTCTAGCGACCAACATTGCTCCAGTAGTAGTCTAACCATACTAAGAACCAAGAAAAAGGGTAAACTAAAGAAAACATGTAAATTTTACTAAACCTTGAACACCTGACCCCAATCATCTACACCTATTACTAAATAAATGATAACAACAAAACATGTTCTGTAGGTAGTACAAAAAAACTTGGAGAAGTTTCCTATCCTGCCATGGCAATTCTTCTAACATTGAGCAACTAACCTGCATGTCTCTGGCAAGATCAATCTACTTAACTTGACTGGGTACATGTTTACCAGTAAACAACTGGTTACCAGGGCACATGTTTACCAGTAAACAACTGGTTACCAGGACACATGTTTACCAGTAAACAACTGGTTACTGGGGAACATGTTTACCAGTAAACAACTGGTTACTGGGGAGCATGTCTACCTTAAAACTAATGATTGTCTACAAGTAACTGATCAATACAGACCAATACTTTGGCTCAAGTTGACCAGAAACTGTCTTGACAATTTGTAGATAATAATTAATGAACATTAATATACATTTACATTGTAAAATGAACACACGTTATCATTTAAATTTAAGATATATATATAAATATAATAACCTCATGTTTGAGAAAAGAAACAAGTAAACAAATTATGTGTTTTTTGTGATAATTTAGTTATTTATAATTTAATAATATAAACTAATTGATAATGAGTCTGCAGCAACACATAGTAATTGGTTACCATATTACCGGTATGTACTACAGATTATCTCCATCCTCTGGACTCGCAATTTCCATTCCACACTAACAAAATTGGATAACACTCTTTCTCATGTAAAGGCTTCAGCTCAAGCCGACTCTCCAGTGCTATGGAGGTATCAGTGCCAGCCTACCTATAGTATCACATGTAATCGATGGATTTCATTGAACTCTTTGAAAGGCCATCAAGATATAAATTACCCTACACACAGCAGATTTATAGTCCAAGGTAACTTCTGATCATGCTAAATTGGACTCTGCTAACCTACATCTTAGCTCTAATATTTGACCTCTGGCCCTGCTAGCTAACTGCTATCTGAACTCTGATTGCATAAATTTCACCTCCATACCGGTAGTTGAATTTTGAAACGAGATAGTTTATCACCGACTCTGCTAGCTGAACTCTGTCCCTGCTAATCTAACCCTGGCCCTGCTAGCTAACATCTGACTGCTGGCTGAACTCGGACCCTGCTAGTCTAACTCTGATCCTGCTAGCTAACATCTGACTGTTGGCTGAACTCTGACCCTGCTAGTCTAACCCTGATCCTGCTAGCTAACATCTGACTGCTGGCTGAACTCTGACCCTGCTAGTCTAACCCTGGTCCTGCTAGCTAACATCTGACTGCTAGCTGAACTCTGACCCTGCTAGTCTAACCCTGATCCTGCTAGCTAACATCTGACTGCTGGCTGAACTCTGGCCCTGCTAGTTAACATCTGACTGCTGGCTGAACTCTGACCCTGCTAGTCTAACCCTGATCCTGCTAGCTGAACTCAGACCTTGCTAGTCTAACCCTGAACCTGCTAAGCGACCTTTTGCCCTTGCTTGTATAATCTTGACCCTGCTAGCTGACCTATGACCCCTGCTAGTCTACTGTGTCAATCAATGGGAAGCCTACTTAGTCCACTAAATTTCTCTTGGGATGGTATAGAATGTGCTGTATGATTATATTATGTCCTTTTTTACAAAAAGAAAATTATAGATACTTCAATTTTTGATTGTGAATTATAACATGCTTTTCATTCTTATAACTGAATGAGCATTTTAGTGACTAAAATGAATGATACATACACAATTTCCTGTAAATGATGTGATTAAAATCAGCTCTGTCATATGATAACTTGGGAATAGATATGTATTTATAGCATGTTCTTACATAGAACCAGTACAAAGTTGTGTGCAAGAAGGTTTCAACAAAACAAAAAAGGTATGCAATTACAATGGATGTTAACTCATTCACCCCTGAAGACGCATTTGAACTCTTCCAATTCCAAGGTTAGAATAGTCCATTATAAAATTTCAGGGGTGAATGAGTTAATATGACTATGTGGATGATTTTGTAATTTAACAGACCCTTTCCACATACATATCTCTTGGACACTAAAATCTAGGGAAAGTGTCAGTAAGACAAACAAGGTCATGATGGGAGGTAGCCTTGACCCTTGGAGACTTCATTTAACTCATTCACCCTTGAAGTTTCATAATGAACCATTCCAACCTTAGAATTGGAAGAGTTCAAATGTGTCTTCAGGGGTGAGTGAGTTCAATAACAAGAAGTCAGTATACATGTATGTGCCTGAATTGACCCAGACCATCACTTTGGATTGATTTTGGCTAGAACTACCCTATAGTTATTCTGGAGTGAGCAATACACTTAGTGTATATGATTCATATAACAATGTATATATAGTTACAGTCTGTACACAGCATATACATGTATAATTCTGGTGAAAAGGTAATTACCTACAAATACATACTCAATAAAAACAAGTTACAATACAAAAATGTACATTAAGTAAAATGATCGAGACATAACACAAATGTAGTACATGTACATGATAAATTAATTAGGACAAACAAATCAAATTCCTGTACAACTCATGCATATTCATGAGAATAAAAATAATAATTAAATAATGAATATACGAATACAAGTTCACAAATTGAAATGAAACTTTGTAACATACAATTTAACCCTTTCATTCCGAAAAAGCACATTCTTGGGAAGAGGTCAAAATTAGAACATCCTGTCAGTTGCGAACCTTAGGCATACAGGGGTTATTATATGAACAATGCAAAGTATCAAAGTATCTTCATTTTACTAACAACATAAAACTGTTCAGAATCAACAACAAAGTTATAAAGTGTAGCCTGTATAAAAAAAGTACAGTGTTAAAATCGATTGAACAGATAATTGAAACCATGCAACTGAAAGGTACATATTCAAATGTTTCCAGCACAACATTGATGACCGTAACGCATTTATTTCAATGGTGTCCAAACAACACTGATATCTTTAATGTATTCATTTTAATGGTACGCAAAGAACATAGATGTCTGCGAAGTATTCATTTCAACGTAATGTACTGTAATTGTATTGCATACCTACTGAAACATTTAAATTTGTATGAGGAATCTAAAACCCAGTAAAGAATAATAGTCAATATGTAGCCATGTGCTGGAGTAAATACCTATTTGCAATAGATTTTAATTTGTGATAATTTGTAATAAACTATCATCTTCAATTTACAGGAGAAAAAATATATGAAAAATGAATCAATTTCATCTTGATACGATATGAATTTGAAGTTGTGATATTGTCAGCATGAAACCACCTGGACAAAAAACCCCAAAAAACCCTTATCCCATCATACTTGGCTACAACAGTTAAGTATACCTTGACCCAATACAAATCTGGCTGCTAATTGTATTTAACAATCCAGGCTCCAGCTCCACAACTAGAAGAAATTTCTTAACTTTTCACATAGGAAAACATTACTAGAGTTAAGGAAAAGTTAAGATTTTTTTTTATACTTCAATTATAAATTCCTATTGAAAATGAATACATTTCCGAAGCTAAGGAGCTTTCTTGAAACTGAAACCTATGCTGAAACAGGAAGTCATTTTTTTTCCCAGTTATTCACATTTTTCAAAAACATATTTCAGAAAATTAACTGATTTTAATGAGAAAAGTATCTGGCTATTTAAATGATATCTAAAATTTGCACTTGAGCCATTGACAGTTTCACTATCTCATGACCAGGATATACTGTACGTTTTATGGTGAAGGGATTGTGGTTATCTATGTCGCAAGTAATCAAGTCATGCTGGAGAGTGTTTGTGATGGTGCAAAACAAAATGATGCGTCTAATCAACTGGATAATTACAACAATCTTGATATCTAACTGATGAGCCACAGGTAATAATAAATAGGCCACAAGAACATAAGAAAAGAACTGAACGTCGGTCTCTACACACGAAAAACATGATATTCTGAAAAATCGTGGATTCACATGCAGTATTTTACATCTTGTTACACACCTGCCCATACACACACAGACTCGCACGGATACACACCCGCTCCTACGCAATAAAACATCACAGGAGCTTTGCTTCAGGCATTTGTCACTGACAGCCAGTGGATTGTGTACTCGCCCACATGCACAAATGTAGCAAGCTAAGGAATCGGAGAGTTTCGGCAAGGAAATTTATATGGATATATTTTCCTCCCAGAATTATTTGAAAATGGTTCCTGCCACAGATTTCTCCTACAGGAAAATTACAGCTCTTGACTTTCCTTCTAATTTTAAACAGTGCACCATTCATGTTATAACGATGTTCATGACCACAAATGCAGCCCAGGGAAATACTGATCACAGTGAAAATGTAGATTGGTTTAATTATGGTAGGGAGAGGAGGGATGAGACAGTCTGCTGGAAGGTTGGTTGGTGCCAAGCTATAGAACAAAAAAACCAAAGTCAAATGCACATAACAAATGATCTGGATTGTCTATAATCCACAGCCACATCCATGTTATAACAATATTATCATACAACGTCCATTAAAATCAAGCAGACTTTTCAGTGAAGTACTTCAATGGCTGGGTTGTAGGTCGATTCCTGATACACTCTTACTCATGTCTCTGCTGTTGGTCAAACAAACTGACCAACGGTCAAGATCACAGGTCAAGGGTGAAGCTGATTGCTGATGAAAAAGAATGTGTCAAGTATTGGAAGGTCAAAAGGTTGAATCAGAATAGTATTAGAGTTGTCACTGTATTTTATATGTTAAGCAAGTGGTATTGATCAACTCCATAACCATCTGTCTGTGTTTGTACATTTCCACGTCTATATATAGCCACTTTCGACTCGGTGTCATCAGGCCGATATGACCATGGATGTACAATGTTTTTTTTCTCTCAGGCCACATCATGTCCGCCGAACATCCTAGTTACTGAACTGTCTGTGAAGAACTTAATCCTATAAGTCCCAGGCGTCTACCACAGTGCCTGATTCCTAGAACATGTTCTCATGGCCTGCTAACACATACAGATTGGAGTTAGCAGTTGGGTCATCAGTTGGCCTACTCTCAAGGAGGATCACTCTGAAAAACAAACAGAATGTTAGATATCTATATGCTTGTGACTAGTGATTTGTTGGTTAACTAAATTGATCATTTTTTTCATCAGTAATACGTGTGGCTTATATGTTAAACTGTTTTTAAAGGAAAACTTTGATGAGCTTTTGATATTTAAAAGTAAAATCGATTGCTTTTTCAACATGTTTTCAAGTTTGATACTTATAAAGTGTGTATACAGTAGATTTTGTTAAATATCACTTCTCAGTTGTCAGAGGAAAACATGATATTAACTGCAACTTGACATAAAGAGAAAACATGTTTTTCTGACCATTTCAGTGGTCAAAATCCGGAAGTGACCATATCTAAATGTAAAAGTGATACGATTTTACAAAGAAGATTGTTAAGTAAAGTGAAATAGTCGTCTTTTTGTTTATTTTAAATATGCAGCTAAAACACTTGCTAAATGTATATTTGTATGAAAGTCTCCAAAGATACAATACCAGATTCTTACTGTATTATCATTCTTGATTTTACAAGTGTTTCATGGACAGATTTTGTCCAGTTGTCATTAACCTGAGATCAGGGGGTGCTTACTCACCTATCTGATCCTAACAGTCTGAATATTCGACTTCGATCACAGATTTCTTGTGTTACCTGACAAATGGAAAACGAAAAACATACAAATACATATTAAATGTAAGGTAGGTATCAGGAATACCCATGGGTCACTTTGGGCACGTTCGTTTATTCGGAACAACCAGTTTGTCTGTTTTTAAATGTATCATTTTCGGGTATAAATCCTGGCCGACCGGAAAATGTTTATTCAGGCCTTGCAAGGCTTTATCAAGGCTCGCATGAAGGCAGCATCAGATTACTAGGTCCGACCTTATTTCATAAACAAACAACTCTGGTCCAACCGTTTGGATTGCCAAAACGAAAGTGGCCCTAGTGTTACAAATGGAGGATTACCGGTAACAATGTTGATGATCAAAATTAGTCTAAGGGAGATAATTGTTCTCATGTTTTGGAAAGTTACTAATTAAAGCTTCCTCCAAACATCTCAGCAAGAACCCCATGGCGAGCATATGTATTAAATAATGGATTGGTAGATGATAGTAGAATTTGAGGTTATATCACTCAATATGAAACCATTAACAAATTAGAATGCAGTGGTTTTTTATATGCAGAATATGCCCATCATTGAACTCTGCCCAAGCCTTCCCAAATCACAACTAATGACTTTGTTTAATGATGACAAACACACCTATGAAGTTTGAAAGATATCTGGCTTTTAAAACTTGAGTTGTTCAACTGAATAAGGAATTCAATACCTTTCTTCATCTATTTTGGTAACAGCAACAATGACCTTGATTTCCTACCCAGGTAGATATAAACTTAATTGATTTTACAACAATTATGAAACAAGTTATTACAACTCATATTAATCACTCTTGTTGGCCTGGATGTTAGCACATG